CTCTGTCCTCTGAGTCTCAGCTCAATGTCTCACACAGAGTTTTCACAGAAGAGATCCATTACAAGAGGCTAATGATCTGATTAATCCGATGAGAAGGATTACAACTTCACAATGTAGGTATACAAGATTATCACAGGTTAAAGTTAGAGCAATAACAGTAATCTACATAATAAAAGCCTCATAGTGGGATATTACCTTTGCTTCTATATCTACGCACCTTTAAAGGGCACATATTAGGGTATACTCTTTTGTGTAATATATGACCTTTAACAGGCTGCAATTTATGTAAATAATACAATAACATTTGCAATCAACAGAAACAGACTCACTACAGCACTAGAAAAAAACATATAATATCCATATTCTGAAATGTTTTTGTTTCATGAATGAGTTTAATGGTTCATCCAGGCTCTCAAATGTTAATGCACCTATGTATAAGTGTGTCAAAAATGTCAGTGATGTAAAAATTCACTACAAATCTTCAAATGATTATAAAACTTAGGTCTGGCTCTACTGGATTTTAAATTGGGTTTGTTTAGGCTACATTTATTGTTAATTTGCCTCTTTACAGTCATATTTAAAGACAGTAGGTCGGCCTAATGGAATTTTTGCATCACATTCTAGCCAGTAAAGAACGTAAGTAAATTACCGCTATTTGTTTTTAGCAGTAAATGTGTGCCCGCTGGTGTAATTAATTATGCGTAAATGCAGACCATTCACATCTCTATTCACAGCTCATTTACATGTTAGTGCAGGTCCAAAAACATATATACAGCCACTATAGTCACTTTACTATAGATAAATGTAAGAGACAGCAGGCTGTTTACTGTATGTGTGGGAGCTACAGCAGCTAATCGCCAACCAATGAAAAAGTAGCCAACCAAAAGTAGCTTAAAAAACTGACACATTTGCAACACTCAGGCACCTCTCAGATCACAAGTCTTCACTAGTAAGTGTCCTTTCAATCCTGGCTCAAAACGATCGTCTGTAAATATAATGTAATCCAGCATGTTGACAGCAGATGTGTGTGTAAACAAGAGCACGTGAGTGACGTGACTATGGGGCTGCGTTCAGGGGCAGTACGGTGTCACAGACACAGACAAATGACTCCACAGATAAATATTGATGCAGTGCCACATATTTGGACATTTATCTGTCTGTAAATTGGATTAAATTGACATAATATAGAAAGTCTAATCTTTACAATGTGGTATAACATGCCCACGTGGACTATTGGCCCATATCAGCAAGATTTAGGTCGATAGTCGATATGTCTTCAAGTGCCCATATCGATATATCGGTTGGGCCCTAGTTATAATGCTGTTACCTCATCAGAAACGTGCCTGGAGTTGTTTGGGTTCATTCACACATTTTTGAGAAATTCTTTGTTATTAGTCTGTCTACATTTCCAAAGCTCCAAATGCTCTGTTCCATCTCAAGATGTCATGAAGTTGTAGTTTTTTAAGTTAACAGTTGCCATTTATGTTTATTTCAGCAGAGACTACCAATTCCAGGTCTGAAATTACCCCAATGATTATAAACTCCATACCTTCTCACTATAATAATTTGGTTCATTTATAAATGTTTAATTAGCAAAACTCTGTCCGAACTCAGCTCACTACTGCACATCCAAAGCTCCAGTCGCACACTGCGCTCCAACAGACACAAGACCCCGGTCGTTTCTGAAGCCCGCACAGCTCTGCACAGATCTTAGTTTGTTTTTACCTCTGTCGAACCTTTTAAAAACTACATCCAGAGTATTTTACAGAATAATTCCACATGCTTTTAACACTTTAATCTGCAGATGTTTCACTGTCTTATGTCTCTATTCACTGTTTCATGTAATGGTTGATGTGTGAATGTGATCTGTATGTGTGTTTTATTCTGCCTCTTGGCCAGGTGGTCAGTGCAAATGAGAAAGTGTTCTCAATTGACTTACCTGGTAAAATATTGAATAAATAAATAAATAAATAAATGGGGTTTAAAAACACAGTGGAGCACTTTCTGTATTAACATCACAGGGTGGAGCAGAATATTTTCTGGGGTTTTTTTTTGTTTTTTTTTCTCAGCCTAAATATGCGGAGTTTGTGTGTTAAACATGTGTGAACAAAACAAAACACAACAGTGAGTATGTTTGTGATGAGACAATAGGGACATAACAATAACTGAAATACCGTGATATCGTATCGTCAAAAGTCTCACAATAATATCGTGGGCTGTCACAAAAAATAGCGTAATATGGAGCCTTTAAAAAACGCTGTTGTCTTTGTGATAAAAGGTTTTTTGGGTTGTGTTTGTGCATCTGTTTAGTCCAGATAACAATAACAATCATCCAAAAATACAAGTCACAATTATTCTGATTAATCCTTGCAGCCCTATTGGTCACTATTGAAACAGCTTGACCAAATCCCCTGTAGAGCACAAACAGCGGGCATATACAGTCCTGGCATCTCTCCTCTCCTCCTCCTATCACTATATGCCACAGACACACGAGCGGACACTGGACTCTTCACTCACACAAAGCTTTTTCATATTCGAAGCTTTGGTTGTTATAGCCCATCGGACCCGCCAACCCCCAAAGAGACACAACAGATAAGAATATGCTCCAATTCACTTCAAATATACAGTGTGATCTAATGCACACAGACACACAACTACTGGGCATTTTCCACGGTGCGTTTGGCTGGCAGCTTTGGTCCACTTTTCAAATAACAATGGATGGACTCAATATTGTGACTGTGAATGAGGGCGGCAAGATAATACGCCATTTTCTGATTTATGATATAGCATTTTTTCCTCATGAAAAACAAACCAGGAGTTATGTTTTCTTTAAAAAAAAACAAAAAACAAATGCATATTTAGGCTGGGTTCTTTTCTCAAACAGAAAACGCACCAACTTGTGATGTCATGTGGTAATGCAGGAAGTGCTCCATTATGTTTTTAAACTCCATACACCTTCACTAGAATCATTTGGATAATTTCAACTCAATACTGAAATCACGATTATTCAAAAGATTATTTTTTTAGTTACATGATGCATTTATTCTAGCCAGGCTGCAGCCACCTAGAGCCTCCACTCGATTTCATTTCTCTCCAGCGACTACGTCAAGAATCGGAATACACTAGACGCTTCGCAAAAACCCCGGAAGTGCAAGTCCAAGCACCAGCCAATCAGCGAAAAGCCATACATTCTGTTTTGGCAACGATTCCCGAGATCGAGGATTTAAAGCTGGAACAAAGAGAATGTTCGGGAAAGACGAGAGAGTTATTGCCCTTCTTCCTGCAGGATTTGGGAAAAGCTTAATATAACATTACATACGTCACGACCAAATAGCAGCGATTGGTTAAATAAAAAAAGTACCAATCTACCGTCAATCAAATGAATCCTAACGCTGCGAGGTCAGACGGTTTCTATGAAGTGAAACCAGCTAATGAATCAGGCTATATTTATTCAGCATTTCTCTCTCTCAAAAAAAACCAAACACTTTGTTATTGATAATTTATGCAAAATGTTCATATTGAAAAAAACATAGGCTACAAATATGAACCTTAGAACAGTTTTGTGATGTATAAAACATAAAATTAATAAAAACATACTTTGAACATGAAATAAGGCATAGAAAAACATAAATGTATCCAAAGAATATCCCAAAACAAACTTTGTTAAGCTTTATTATTTCAGCTCGATTATATGAGTTTGGCAACACACAAATCAAAATCGTGATCAAAATTCAATTAATTGCACAGCCTTAATTTCAACCCTGGAAATGCTAATCTCTGATGAATAAAAGATAAATACATAATTTCCCCTGCAGACACAATACAAAATATTCTCTTAAATGCATATAATTCTTTGTATTAGTTTAGTTTTAGTTTTTCTCAGTCTTCTCTCAAATGTTATTGGGATTTAAAATGATACAACAACTTTTAAGCAGCTCAGAAAACAGAAGTGGGGACTGACGATCACTTGACCACATCTTTAATTTGGGTAAAAGTTGAGTTCAATTTGTCACAACCTCATAAGAGACAATTATTGTTGAAGCATTTTCAAATAAGAATCAGTTTTGCAGTAAATGTTCAGTAACAGCAGAACACTAAACCAGGAAAACAAACATGATGCATTTCTCACTCACATTTTCTGTGGAACATCGATCTGTCAAACTTTGCACTAATGGACACATCGCTGCGGAAACAGCCAATAAATATCACAATGACACTGAGTAAAGATGGAAGAGAGATCGAGTCCATAATGTAAAATGTAGACCTGGGAGTAATGCCAAATAAGGACACAGCTCAATAAAACACTGTCCCACACAGTAATATGGGATTAAAATGTGATTGTGCCATTAGGCTACAGCAGGACAGTTTTCTGATAGAGCTCGAATACAGTCAATGAGCAGGAGAATCTCATTAAATGAAGATTGTGAAATAACTGAAATGTTTGTGTAACCTATAACACATTCACTTCAGATATATAGACTAAACATTACTGATACATGTGTGTAAAAGTGTATTACGCTAGTTAAATCTAGTATCATCGACATGCAGTTGTCACGAGTGAAGCTGCCACAGTGAAAACCAAACCAGAGAATGGAGGTCCAGGACAGCTGCAGCTATTTCAGTCATGTGTCTGTCAGGGGTCCCGTTCATTCATTGTTGGGACTGACGCTTATTTCTCTATAGCACCCATAGACTGTCACAGCACCCCGCGTGCGCCTTATATAACGCACGAGCCCTAAACAGACAGTGAGAGTATGACAGAGGCATGTGTAGTGGTGGTCTTGTGACAGTCCACCTGCACCCCGCACCACTGTAGATTACTGCAGGGTTATTTTTAGGAGCAGCTCGCAGAAATAACACGTCTCTCAGTCAGAGCACAGCCGCCTGTCGGCGCATGCTGCCCGGGCAGCGTGGCCCCGCGCTCCGTACGCGCAAAGGGACGTCCAGCCAAAGCTCCCCAGCAACAACCCTCTCACAGCACCCCGCTACGGAACATTTACCTCCGACTCCTTCTGCGGGTCCTTGAACACATCTTTGGCTCTGGCCTTGTGCCTGTCGCCGTTCTCGTTAAGGTTATTAATGATAGGTACCTCCATGTCGTCCGCCTGCATCTTGTCCCGTGGCCGCGGCTCACTCTGTCCTGCGCGAAGCTGTCACCGGCATCGCTCCACGGAGAGCTCCACGCGCACATGCACGCGCACAAACACGAACACGCGGACACAGGGGGTCCACAGGGTCCCTCCTCCCGCCGCTGCTGCTTCTGCCTCCGTGTGTTTGATTCACTGTCCCTGCACGGCCCGAGGGGGCGGGGTTAAACACTCTATGGCACAAACGTCACGCAGCTGATCAAAGGATCATGAGCCACAGACTTTACGTGGAGCGAGCGCCGCGCACCTGGAGGCGCCTCTGTGCGTTTGGACAGTTCTGCTTTTTATGGACTTTGACTGTAACAGACTCATCTCACATTCGGCTCATTTTCATCTATAGTTATACAGCTCGTTTTACAGTTTGAGGGAAATGCAGCTCATTGCAGGCTATTATCTGACTGGAACTTAAAAACTTAACTATTATATATAACTATAACATTATAAAGTTTTGGTCATTTGTTAACATGAACACTGATCTCCCCAAACGTCCAGCCTCAGTCCCTGTCCTGTCTTCAGTGGTACAGACTTGTTTAACTCAGGGGGAGGTGACTGTGGGTCAGGCCTGATGCCAATTTTTCCTGGAAAACCTACAGCCTGTTTATTGGCTCTTATTGCATTAGGTTATTTCTAAGTATCTTAAACCCAGTATTCGTGATAATGTATCAGCGTTTGTAAAAAGCCAACAGCTCCTTCTGCTCCATCTCCAACAGAAACATTCACAGCAGAATAACAGTGACTGTATCCACTCATGTGGGTGCCCCCTGCAGACTGCTCACCTCAGTGAATTATTGATACTGTCATGTGTAATGTGTGTGTGTATGTGTATGTGTGTGTGTGTGTGTGTGTGTGTGTGCGTGGAGCTGTGGGGGTCTGAGTCGGAGCTGTGCACCTCCATCTATAAAACACATCTCTGCGTCTTAAATGCCTGAGACTGAGACTGAACTGTGCGTTTAAACTGATTCAGAGTCGTGTTGTGTGGAGGACAGGAGCGGTGCTGAGGTGGTTGTTTTATAATGACATTATTGTCCAGGGGCCGGGGATAAATCAGTTTATGTTTCATAGGTTAATATAAAAGAGACACACATCACTGTAAAAGCTGTTTTAGTGACTACACAAAAAGACTGCTGTAAAAAGGACAGTCTTAATTGAAATAAAACCTGAATAATTTAGTATTTTTGCAAACATTTAAAATTTGTCATTTATAATGTGTTCAGTTATTTTGCCATCAGTGTGCTCTCCACTTCAGCAAGCCGATATTCATAATGTAGAACAAAATATGACCAATAATGTGCATCTTTGTGTTGAAGTGAAGCCCCGAGAGGAGCAGATACAGTGTCGGTGTGAACATGTTTAAATGGTGCAAGTGAGGGCTTCTTATCTGTGTCTGATCAGAGGCTGTGTTCACACGCACGATATAAATCTGATCATTATCTGATTACTGGAGTTATCTGATTATTGAAATGACTGTTACATCTGATTGCTCACACAAGTTTTTGCAAACGTCTGCTTAAAAAGGCAAACTAATGATGGCAGAGACAAATATTAAAGGTGCGTTGTGTAACGTTTCTGGTGGAGAGTCCATCAAAAGCTTTTCTCCAGGAAGATGTCATCCTTTGTCTGGAATGTTTCACAGTATGGTATTAAACATTTATATCCTTGGAGACCAAACCAGACCAAGTTACAGGTCAGATCTGTGGAGAGGTGACATCGCTTACAGTCAAAATGTCTATTTTGTAGGTGTTTTGGATCTGTAAAACCACCTGTAACTGAATAAATGTAAGGTAGAGCTCTTTAATATCATATTGTAGAACATTCCAGACAGAGCAATGACATTTCCATAGAAACAAGCCCCCCCCCCAAGACCCTCAACTGAGAAGTTACACAGTGCAGCTTTAAGTATTGATTTTACACTTTAGGGGCCATAAGTACTACTTGAATGTTTAGAAATTGTCCAAAATTGTCCTTAGTACAGGGACCATCTCAAATACAAAGTAAAAAAAACAACAACAAAAAACACTTTATCTGCCATGTGATAATAAAAGCTTTTAATTATTTTGAATTTTTGAGCCTCAGTTTTTTCAACTTTGTATTTATTGGCTAAAAATGAATTGTGCTTTGTCATCCAAATATAACAGCTACTCTTAAAATCACTGGGTATGGTTATATACACACTCAAAATTTAATTATTATCTGATTTCTGGTGTCATAATATAATATAATAAATGTAATGTCAATGTAAACAGCTAAATTATCAGATATCTGTCTAATCTTGGTCCATCTGATTATTTTTTTGTTAACAAAGCCACCGATTAAACACACACACAAAACAAGACAAGACTTAGAAACAATCGAAACGCCAAACTGTTACTTATCTACTATTAAAATGAACCACAAATGATCTGATTTCTGTGTAATCATGGTCCATCTGATTATTTCTTGTGCACATGTAAACAAAACCACTGAGCAAACCAACACACCAATAATCAGATCAGATTGTCAGTGGTCTGAGTGTTTGTCTGTCGATGTTGGAGATGTCTCTGTCTGTCACTGAGCTCACAGCTGAAGGACAAGAGCAGCTGTGGAAAAAAACCCATCCCCCCTCATCCCCCATCCCCCCAGACACAAGACACAGACCATCTCAAAAAATAGAAGAAATAAGCGACAAAAAATATTAACTTTTTTCATGATATTCTTCTTTTTTGAGATGGTCTGTGAGAAGGCAGACAGAGAAGAATATATATAATGTACGTACAATGGGATGTCATAATAATATCCAAAATATTTACACTTTAAAGGGCCCATATTACGTCATTTTCTCATCTGTTATAATGTTGTTTCCTCGTCACAAACATACCCGGAGTTGTGTTTTGTTTCATTCACACGTTTAATACACAAACCCTGCATATTCTTCTGAGTTCTTCTCTCAAACAGAAAACAGCCTGTTCCACATTGTGATGTCATGTGGTAATACCAGACATAGCTAACCTCCTGCTGACCCTGGCTCCCATTGGTTTACATTAGAATAGATGTCCCTTTCTCAGTAACTGCTGTAGCGAGCCTCATCATTTAGGTCTTAAAATGTTTGTATTAACCTGCTCTAAGTCATCCTGGTGTTTTTATTTCACTATTTTGTCTGTAAATAAATTCCTATTCCAAAAATATGAAGCCTGGCACCAATTTAACCCCTGTAGCCTCTGGCATCATAAGCTTCATTTAACTGGAGCTGAATACTGATGTCAAACTCTCTTAGTCCACTTCTTTATATAGTCTGTGGGTAATACACAAAGTTCTTCACTGTGGTTTTAAACTCCATACACCTTCACTAGAATCGTTTAAATAATTTAAACCCTGGAATTGCTTTTCTCTACTGATATGAAGGTAGGAGGTAGCTGTTAATGGAGCATTCTGAGCTTTGGAGGTGTAGATAGATAAATAATAAAGAGTTACTCAAACATGTGTGAATAAGACAAAACACAACTCGAGGTTTGTTTCTGATGAGATAACAGCATTAGAACATGGCTTAAATTAGCTCACAAGAGTCAGTTTTGTGTAATATCGGACCATTAATGCACATGTTCTCAGGGGTGTAGTGGACGTGGTACGTAGGGGTACGCAGTCCACCCACTTCTCTCCATGTGAGATATGAAAAAAATAACAAATATAAAATTGCCTACAAGTTAAACCGGAGCTATTGGCAATGGTGAAAACAACCTGCATAGGCTCATGATATCTGCAGTACTGTCCTATAGTAACCTGAGACATGAGACCAGGACTGAACCAGGACTGAACCAGGACTGAGTGTCAGGACAGGCCTGGAGGTGCGCTTGCGTAGACCGTCGGGTGACCGCAGGCGAAAGGACAGATGCAGAGCTCCATGCCTCAAAGAGCTAAGCACAGCTACCGCCCGATCGTGCTTTGGGGACTCCCTGCTCCACGGGCTCGGGGTTCTCCCCCCCCCTTATTTCTCTCTTTCCCCTTCTCCTTCCCTCTCTCCCCTTCTCTCTCTCTCCCCCTTTCCCTCTTTCACTCCCCCCACTCTCTCCCCTCTTCTCCCTCTCCCCCCTCTATCTCCTCATCTCTCTCTCCCCCTCTCTCTCTCTATCCCACCTCTCACCCCCTCACTCTCTCCCTTCTCCCTCTCCACCCCCCACTCTCTCTCCCTCTCATTCCCTCACTCTCTCCCCTTCTCCCTCTCTCTCCCCTTCTCCCTCTCCCTCCATATCTCTCTCCCCCTTCTCCCTCCCTCTCTCTCTCCTCTCTCTCTCTCCTCTCTCTCCCTCTCTCTCTCTCTCTCTCCTCTCTCTCTCTCTCTCCCTCTCTCCCTCTCTCTCTCCCTCTCTCTCCATCTCTCTCTCTCTCTCCTCCCTCTCTCCCTCTCCCTCTCCTCTCTCTCCTCTCCCCCTTCTCCCTCTCTCATATCTCTCTCCCCCTTCTCCCTCTCTCCTCTCTCCCCCTTCTCCCTCTCTCTCCCTTCTCTCTCTCCCCCCTCTCCCTCTCTCTCCCCTTCTCCCTCTCCCCCTTCGCCCTCTCTCTCCCCTCTCTCTCCCTCTCTCTCTCTCTCCATATCTCTCTCCCTCCCTTCTCCTCTCTCTCTCCTCTCCATATCTCTCTCTCTCCCTCTCTCCCCCCTTCTCCCTCTCCCTCTGTCTCACTCTCTCTCCAGATTAGTCCTGATTTAGTCCTCGTTCAGTCACAAATTGCGTACCCCCACTTAAAAATCCCCACTCCACCACTGCATACGCTGGATAGTTTGTTACATTTGACAAAAACTACACAACAATGACCTGATGATGACGGGGACAGAGCAACATCTGTTATATCTGAGCTATCTGTCAAAACATAGACAGACAATGAAAACAAAACGTAATAAAAACACCATGTACAATTTTTACATCTTTATTCATTGAGATTACAGAATTTAATTATTGCTCATCATCTACTATTATCACTAGCAATATTTAACATAGGGTTTTCTGTAATAGACAACTTAAAACAGGTTTTTGAGAATCTGCCGTTTTGTACTTTGTAATGAGGAATTAAAACAATAATAATAAATACAGAAGTTTTCGATCTTCGCCTTCCTATATTTAACAGTTGTCTTATTTGTATAGTTTATATACATGTACAATGCTGGTGTTTCCCATGCCCCACCGCACAACGTTGGAAAGATCCTGAGGCATCTGTTACTGTAGCAACCATTGCCTAGAAACGGTTATGTACCACACTGAAAACTAAACTAATAAAGCTCTGAAAAATATTAAAAAATCATTAGAAAACAGGGCTGCACAATATGTTTCAAAGTGATTATTATAACAAGATTAGATTATAAAAACATATTGAGAGAAAAGGAATATCGCAGGTAAAAAATTGTTGTCTCCATAGAGAGCGCTTTTACTGGAATATTCCACTGTACAGCATTAACTTAATCTCCAATCTGTCATTTTTGCTACCGATTTAGAATGTATTATTACCATTTCTATATATTTTTTACTCTTTGTTATTATTTTATATTGTGATGTGTGAGCTACTGTGTCCAAATAATTTCCCTTGTGGATCAAAAAAGTGAAGTTATAAGTCAGATCTGTGGAGAGGCAACCCTGCGCACAGTAAGAATAAAAAAAACAAAAAACTTTTACTTGTATGTATAAATTAATGCCATACTGTGGAATACTTCAGACAGCGCTGTAACATTTTTATGGAGCAGGTGATGGAAAAGTTACATACCGCAGTTTAAAGTTAAAATGTGATTGATATTCAAGATTTAAGTTTCGTTATCGTTTTGATTCAATTGTATTTAGCCCAGTTTTTGTTCTGGTTTCATCTTTTGACATACAATTTTTACATTAACTGAGCTGTTATTATCCAAACAATCACAAAAATGTATTAAACAGTTCATTTTAGGTTGTTGAAATGTCACTTTTATCCTCATACTGTGCAGCCCTGACACAAAACCATATTTATCTGGGCGTATCATTTTTTACCAATTAAAACATTTACAGCTATTTTAACATTTTGTCAACATAAAACTTAATTAGAGCCTAGAAAAGCCAAATTTCAAATGACCAGAGAAGCAATCACAACAACTGGCCTGGAATGATTAGTTGAGGAATAAACCGTGGTGGCCTTTTTTTTGTTTTTACTTTAAAGGTGCATTGTGTAACTTTTCTGGTGGAGGGTCCTGCTGCTGCCTGCTGCTTGTTTCCATGGAGATGTTATTGTTTTGTCTCGAATGTTTCACAGTATGGCATTAAACGTATCCATCTTGCACGGGTTTTTATTGACCTCAAAACATGCATTCTTACTGCGTGTGGGCTCGCCTCACCACAGATCAGACACGCAACCTGGCCCCTGCTGCCTCCATGGAGATAAATGAATGTAATGCCATACTGTGTAACATTCCAGGTGACTGACTCTACCATCAGAAAAGTTTCACAGTGCACCTTCAAAATGCTTTTCTCCATGGAGATGTTATTGCTTTGCGTGGAATGTTCCATAGTGTGGCATTAAACCTTTCTATCTTCATGGAGACCAAACCAGACCAAGTTAGAGGTCAGATCTGTGGAGAGGCGAGCCCACACACAGTCAGAACACCTGCTGTTTTTCTAGGTATTTTTGAGCTATAAAACCACCTGTAATTGAATAAAACAAAGTAGAGCTGTTTAAAGTCATACTGTGGAACATTCCAAACAGAGCAATGATGTATCCATAGAAACAAGCAGGCGATGGACCTCCCCAACCAGAAAAGCTACACAGTGCACCTTTAACAGAGCTGTAAAATAATTTCTTGTTTCTCGAGGGGTCATTAAAAGATTCATTCTTTAAATAAAATAAAATAAAATAATAATTATCTTAAGACAAAAAGCAGGGGGGTTACAGCTACTTTCAAACAGCACATAGACAGCTGGGACAGTGAGGCGATGGTGCAGTTTAAGTACAAGCCTTTATGTTATCGTTGGATTTCATGCATAAAATTGTGTCAAAAGTGGTGCTTCTGGTTTAACTGTTGTCCTGCTGAAAACAAAGACCCTGTAAGGACCATAGAGGCTGTTTCAATGAACCAAGGCTGCACAATATCACTTACTCACCATTATAATGTGATATGGGACTCTGTGTACTGCAATGACATTTAATCTATTGTTTTAAACAGGCCCGTCGGCAGAAATTTGGGGGCCCGGGGCAAGAAGTCACACATAGGCCCCCCCTCTAATATGAATGAATAGGTAGGGGTTACAACTGTGGTCCCCCTGTCTACAGCCCTGCTTTTAAATAACTCAAAGAGACTATTATTCATAAATCGTACAAATCGGGAGTGTCCAAACTATGGCCCAGGGGCAAATCCGGCCCTCTTACCAATTTTTGTTGTCCGTTTCCTGTTTCCGTGAGTTAAACTGCAATGCCGGACTGAACCAGGACTGAACTAGGACTAAACCAGGACTAAAAAAGGTCTAAACCAGCTCTAAACCGGTCTTGGTCCTAGTCTCAGTCCTGGTTCCGGTCTCAATCCTAAACCAGGACTAAACGAGAACTGAAACAGAACTGAACCAGGAGTGTCGGGACTGGCCCGGACGTGTGACCACGACTGTCGGGTGACCAGAAAACCGGGACCAGACTGGGACCAGACTGGGACCAGACTGGGACCGGGCCTGAGACCGGGCCTGAGACCGGGCCTGAGACCGGGCCTGAGACCGGGCCTGAGACCGGGACTGAGACCGGGACTGAGACCGGGACTGAGACCGGGACTGAGACCGGGACTGAGACCGGGACTGAGACCTGGTTCAATTCTGGTTTAGAGCTGGTTTAGACCTGTTCAGTCCGGATGCAGTGAAAAGTCCGGCATCGCAGTTTAAGTCACGGAAACAAGAAATGGCCGTTATCAATTTTTTTTTCCAGTATTCATTTAAACAGAAAATCATTGTCCATTTTTTCATTTTGTTTTGGAGACAAATAATGAAGAAAGCAGTTGTTTTTTCATTTTCTTATTTTTGATTTTATATTGAAAAATTTATGAAACAGATTTTTTTTTTACCATTACAAGAACACTTTAACACTTTAGTTCAGGGACCACATATTACTACCTAACTAAGTGTTAATTTGTACACTAATTAGCTGTTACTTAGTAGTACTAGTTAGTATTAATCAAATATTTAATAATGCTTATTAAGATTTCAGTGTATCCACTACTCCACTACTTTAATGGGAAGAAAATCGTTAATGAGTTGGTACTCGTGAAATACGACCTTAGACAAAAATGCATTGAAAGTACTTTATAAATACTAACAAAAATGTAATTAAGCACTTTTTATGCATTTTACTATTAACCAGCTATTAACATGTGGTCCTTAATCTAAAGCGTTACCAAGAATTTTTACTTTCTGCTTCATAAAAACGCCACCTATTTTTATTAAATTTTTTGGTTAACAGAGGACACTACACACATTTGCGTTCTTTGAAATAATTGTAAATGTTCAAATTGTGGTTTTGATTCGACTGATTATGTGTGTTGTGAAGTCTTAAAATTGAACTCACTGTATTTGGGTAATTAAAAAATGGAAGAAAAGGCATCTGGCAAAAAACTACTCTCTCAAATATCTCTGGATAACCCTGTATAAATAGACAGTAGCCCCACATACACATTTGAAGTCTAACATTGTGCAGCCCTGGTTTAGAATAAATGCAACGTACGATACTAATTTGAATTTCTAGATTAAATAAAGCAGCATTTTCTTGTGCAGAGGATTTTGCAGCAATTCGACTCAAGTCAAAAACTTTAGGAAGAAAAGCTAAGAACTGTCAGGAACCATAGTCATAGCCAACCATGTAATGGGCTAGGATTTCCAGTAGACCTGTCACGATAATTACTACAAGTATATCGACTAATCGTTCAATATATAAAAGCTGAAACTAATTTTTTGTACACTACTGGTATTTTTTTGGCTATATGATAACGATTTGAGCCTTAAACTTTGAATTTATAACATTTTTTTAACAATATCTGCTCTCGGGTTTTACGTTTGTGGCATAAATGAGTTTCAGTATTATCGTTTATCGTCTATATTTATACTTCAAACTTAAAACGCAGTTATCGTGACAGGCCTAAGTACCAGACAGTTATGGCGTGTGTGTGATGGACAGTTATCGCACCACGTATTGAAAGAGGACCTGATTGAAAACGTCTTGAGTACCATCATGGCGGCAAGTTTGTGTGCATTTGGTTTCTCTAAATATTTCGTCACAGTTTTCTTAGTGAGCAACATTTTTTACACAAATAGATTAAAAACACCAAGTATTTTTTTCTGTCAAAAGTGATGATATAAGATGAAGTAATAAAAGAAATAAGTTTAGAAAAATGTGTTTACATATAAATAAAATTACCCCGTTAAGATGATCTCCTGTGTGTAATACTTACAGTAGTAAATAGTAGTAAAAGCTGTGATAGTAGTAGTACTAACTAGACTGAATATAGAGTGAAATACTGGTACCACTTTATAATGGATACACCTTAATTAATCTTATTAAAGCATGAAAATACACTTAATAAATAATGAACAGTTTATTAAGAAAGATTCAGGCCTAGTAACTACATAAAATGGGTTAGGGCATTAATTAAAGATACAGTATGTAACTTTCAGGAGGTGGCACGTCATGGAAATAGAAAACTAAAGCCATACTTGGGAACATTCTCCATGTAGATAAATCAAGTAGGCAACACCTATTGCCTCCACTCAATTTCATTTCTCTCCGGCGACTAGGTCAGGAATCGGAATACACTAGACGGTTCACAAAAACCCCGGAAGTGTGAGTCCGAGCACCAGTCGATCAGCGAAGAGACATACATTCTGTGTTGGGAACGATTCCCGAGATCGAGGATTTAAAACTGGAACAAAGAGAATGTTTGGTGAATTTTATCAAGGGGAAAGACGTTATTGCCCTTCTTCTTAGGGGATTTGGGAAAAGCTTAATATACCAGTTAGTTAGCGGCGCATTACATACATCACGACCAAATAGCAGCGATTAATAAAAAAAATGACCTGCCTACCATCGAGCAAACAAATCCTAATGCTGCGAGGTCAGACGGTTTCTATAAAGTGAAACCAGCTGATGAATCAGGGTAACATAAAATGGTTTAGGGCATTAATTAAACAAGATACAGTATGTAATTTCCAGGAAGTGGCACGTCATGGAAATAGAAAACTAAAGCCATACTTGGGAACATTCTCCATGTAAATAATCAAGTTTTAGGCCATAGTGTGGATTATAGCTAAAGGAATAGGATAAAAAGGAGTCAAATTTGTGGAGATGCAAGCCCTCTCACAGTAAAGAAGTTAAACTCAACTAAAATTACGAAAAAATAAAAGCTTGTATTTTAGTTTTTTACCTAAAAAGTTACATACTGTAGCTTAAAGTAGTTACCAAGCCAGAATCATTCAAAACTATTTGTTCATTACAAATTAGGTCCTTGTTTAGGCTTTATCTGTTTAATTAAAGTGTCGTTATCATAAAGTGTTACCAAAACACTTGAATTACGTGAACACTGGTGTAGATAGGAACCGAGATGAGATGATTTTACCTGTTTTGAGTTTACATGAGACAGTACAGGCTGGTCTATGACAAATTAACATTTTACAAGTAAAAAAAAAAAGTTTAAAACATTAATCTCAATGAACGAAATAGAAGTACTGATATGATTGGACCCTGAGATCCTGGCTAGCCCCTCCCACTACATTTAGCCCCGCCCTCGTAATGTTACACAAAAAAGGAAATCAAAAAAATCACGAGTAGAAAAGACGACATAAACAGGAAAAACATGTCAGACACTAAATCTTCATAGTTTCATCTTCTTTCACACAGAATTTCAATCATTTTATCGATATAGTTATATAGTTTCGCATCATTAATGTTATTTTAATAGTTAATAATAAAAGATCTGGCAATGAGATGTGAGAATGGAGGCAATACATACAACTTGACGCACACTTGGGACTCTTTTGGGGATGAGAAAGTGGCAAAAATGGATTCGTATTCGGACACAGACAAAAGCAAATGGAAGGTGAATGGTAGGAGCAGCTTCAGAAAGTTACAGTTATAAGAAGAAGTGATCAAAGCTTGAATAAATTATAGATTCTGCCCCCAAAAGGTGACGGAGAGGTCACGGAGAGGTCACGATCCTTCTCCCCTCCCTGTCCCGCCTGTGTAAAAGCAGATGCGTTTGACCTCTGTCCTTCCAGAGGTCTTTAGTCTCCCCCTCTCTCTCCCCCCTCCTCCGTTATATGAGTCTGTGCGGTTTATTAAGTGGTAGGACTCTCTCCATCCAACTCTGTTTAATACCTGAAAGACAAAAAAAGCAAAAAATGCAAATACAAGTCTTGGAAAAATATTTTTTTATGTAGATTAATCTTTAGATAAATAAAAAACAGTGCGATCTCAGAGTCATAAGATGATGTATTCTTAATAAAAATATGCAATTTATTTAATTAATGGAGATTTGTAGTAGTGTGTTTTTACCTATATTATTCTTAAAGGTCGTTTATTACACAAAAAGGGCTCTTGCATTATTTTCTAATCTATTTTATCATGTTTCCTCATCACAAACATACCCAGAGTTGTGTTTTGTTTCATTCACACATGTTTAAAGTAGAGCCCTGCAGTCCCACGAGCCATAACAGTGCGACGCAGGACACATTTTGACAGTTCATTGCGGGCAGGAGCATCATTTTTGCTGGTTATTTTATTTGGCATTAATAAAAACATTTTAAGCAGCCTAAATTTGCGGATGTGGTCTAATCTCGTGCACATTCTAGATAGTTCCTTTCCGTTTCTTCATGCTTCATGCTTTTACTGGTGACTGAGTGACTGTGTCTCTCTGAACATTGAAGCAGCAATTAAAGGATCCATAAGTCGCCTATTTAGACATTAAATGTAGCCCATTTCTTTTTCTTTTCAACATTCATTTGAACCAGCAACACTGGAACAAAATAGCCAATTAAAAAAAAAAAAAAAAAAAAACAAAAAAAAACAGAAATGATACAAAACATGTCTTAACATTTAAACATTTCTAATGAGATCGGAGGGCCTGTCTGTGTTTTTGTAGCTTGTTCCAATCTGGGGTGCAGGAGGAGAGCGCAGCAGCAGATCAGGCGCAGCATTCTGTCTGTTTTTGTGCTTTGTTTTTATTTTTGTGAGCACAGAAAATCTTATGTGTCAGAACTGTAAATTGCAGACGTACATGCAGATTGTGACAAGTAGGTCTGCAATATACAGAAGAAGGCGACCCTAAAAAAATCTGAGAGTCATGACCCAGTCTTTGGGAAACAATGCAGTAGAGAATGGAAATTTCAGGTCTGAAATGATCCAAACAATTCTAGTGAAGGTGTATGGAGTTTAAAAACACAGTGGAGCACTTTTTGTCTTACCACATGACATCAAAATTTGGAACAGAGCATTTTGGGCCTTTCAGATGTAGACAGACTAATAATAAAGAGTTACTCAAACATGTGTGAATGAAACAAAACACAACTCCAAGTATGTTTTTAAGGAGGTAACAACATTATAACATGGCTCAAAGCTCACAAGAATACATTTTGTGTAATATAGGATCTTTAAATATGTGTGCATGAAAAAAAACACACAACTCCAGGTATGTTTGTAATAAGGAAACATTATAACACACTGTAGATCAGAAAATAATGCAATATGAGCCCTTTAAATCAAATAAACCTGCTTGAAGACTTACCTATAGTAGTTTGGCTTGAAGGGGCCGTTCTTGTTCAGACCCAGATACTTTGCCTGTTCGTCGCTGAGTTCTGTCAGATGTGCGTCGAATGTGGGGAGGTGGAGGCTGGCCACATACTCGTCTGTAGAAGAGGGAGACATGGTTTAAGATTCAGGAAACGGCTAAAGATAATTAATCATTAAAATGAATGGAGCCGAGGCGCTGAGGGCTGCACCACTGCCGCTATATGTTTATATTATTTATGCTGCATGTTTTCCAAGAATCATTATGTTCCTTCTACACAATGTTATTTCTATGGCTAAAAGCATTCATAAGAAATACATTATGACTAAACACTGCAGGCAGGATTAGTATTCTCAGAACTGCATATTATTATATATTTTGAAAGATTTTGAAAAACGTGTTTATTCAAAGGAAATCAAAGGAACGTTATGTTTTTCTTTAGTTGACTCTAGTTCTTTTTGCCTGATTCATCAGCTGGTTTCACTTCGTAGAAACTGTCTGACCTTGCAGCGTTAAAATTCGTTCGCTTGGAGGTAGGCGGGTACATTTTTTCATTTAACCAATCACTGCTATTTGGTCGAGACGTATGTAATGCGCCGCTAATGGGGCTAACTGATATATAAAGCTTCTCCCAAATCCCGTAGGAAGAAGGTCAATAACGTCTTTCCCCTTGATAAAATTCACCAAACATTCTCTTTGTTCTGGCTTTAAATCCTCAATCTCGGGAATTGTTGCCAACACAGAATGTATAGCTCTTCTCTGATTGGCTGGTGCCTGAACTCACACTTCCGGGGTTTTTGTGAACCGTCTAGTGTATTCTGATTCCTGACCTAGTCGCTGGAGAGAAATGAAGTTGAGTGGAGGAACTAGGTGGTGCCAGCCTGGCTATTGTTCTTTCCCATAACTTTTAATATTCAAACAGTGAAACATACAGGACTACATTCATACCAGACTCCCTACAGCTGTACAACAACTCACCCTTATGTAACAGATAATACTCCCTACAACTGTACAACGACTCACCCTATGTCTGGTCAGTCATCATATCTTTGCACTGTTTCTCCTTACGAAATCTTGTATAAAACTGAGAGATACTTATATTACTGTATTTTTGTTGTTTTGTTCTATTGTTCTTCGTCGGTTTCTTACACTCTTATTATTTTTCTTTGCAAACGCGATTTTGAAGGCCTGAACGTCGACGAAAAGTCTCCAAACTGGGTATCAGATTGACCGGTCTGGTGAAAAATTTTATAAAATGGGCATCGTGACAATGCCCAAAGTGACCCCACTCAGCAGCGCCCCTGTTTTGACTTGCGTGTTTGTAAAAAGCTTCAAGTCCCTGGTGTTTGGTCCAAATGAGCTCAGATTTGACATGTCACATCTACAGACATAAATTCACAAAAGATATCAGCAGTTTTTGGGATACTCCTTATCATTTGCCCGTAGCACGCCGGCGTCATTGGCCTTGAGAGCTCAAACTCAAATCACAATTGCGTGATTCGGGTCTGAATGTAATGAAATATGAAATCTAATAAAAGTGAACACTATAGCGCCCCCTAGCACAGACATGAAACATCAACATTATTGGATTAGTACCAAATTTGGGGATTAAATTCTATGCATGATTACGAGCAAAAAAGTTTATTATGGACGTGGAGCTGAGTTGTAACACAATTTTTTGGTAATTATAGTATTTTTTATGGCTTTTGTTGACTTGCTTATTTATTTTTTATGCATTATTTTATTTAACGTGTTCCTTTATATTGTGCCTACTCTGTACAGCGCTTTGGAGACTTAAAATGTTATACAAATAAAGGTGTACTGGACTGGATAATAGAAATGGCAATGGCAATCCTTCTCCATGTCTTTCCTTTGCTTCGTTCTTTTAAAGTGAGCATCTGCAGCCTCCTCTGACAGTCTGACCTATATTCATCCTCTTTCTATCTCCTCCAGTGTGCGCTTTTTGACCCCATAGGAGCAGCACAAACTCGAGAGAGAAAAGGGGAATATGGCAGGATCACATACGCTGTTACTTCACATATGACTACCATTACCACACACACACACACACACACACACACACACACAGAGAAACCATTCAAGTGTGAAGATGTGCTCCTCGGACTTTCCAACCCGCATCAGATGAGACGCCGCATTCTAGAGAAATAAATGCATTTGGGCCCTCAGGCTTTTCAGATGGAGCTAAAACACTGTTATAATGGCTTCCTGCTCAGTTCTTTACCAGCGGAGGATCAGACAGGCACCAGATTGGGTAATTTATCATAACTGGTGTCAGATTCCTTCCTTTTCATTTCGTATTAGATTTCATCGAGAGTTTTCATTGCTGAGAATCTCCGTGAAGAGTCAAAGTATCAAATTAAATTAAGGTAACAGTTATGGGATTTTTTTTCTCTAATTATTTTCTCTCTATTGATTCACAACATTAGTAAACCACCTGTGCAATTTATTTATTATTCTACTATTTTAATGTATTATTTATTTATTTAGACGCAAATAACATAAATATGCTTAGAGGACCTTTACCTGATTTTTTTTAGTATTTGAGCAAAATTTGTCTTGCCCCATTACATATATATTGTATAATCAGCTCTTGAGCTCAAATTCTAATTATAAAGCAGTTTAATGATCGATTATCAGGAATTACCCATTAGAATCCTGGTTGTTGTTAGCGTTACCATCAAAGCAACACTCCTCACTGGTCTTTAGGAGTTGTGAAAAGCATAAGTAAACTATTTGCAGTGAATAATTACGATGATCTGAATACACACAAGTGAGGAATAATGTTTTTCATGTTTTAGGGGACCGTAAAAATCTTTAAATTTTTTGTAAAGTGTCTAGGAAGGCACTGATAAATAGAATAATTTAAATAATAGAATAATTTATTTCAAAAGACAATTAAAACAAACATTGATTTGTAATGCTATTTAATATTTGGACTACTGAAAGTCATCTTGTCTGTTCATGACTGTTGTGATAAAATCATGTTTATAAGGGAGGTGATCTCATTATGAACATGGTTTAGTCCTGATTTTGTCTTATTGGTACTTGGAAAACCCACAAATTCATGAAGTGGTACTTTATGTGAAAAAGTTGGCAACCACAGTTCAGTTCAGTTCCGTAGTCCTGGTTCGGACGTGGGTCGGACGTGGGTCGGACGTGGGTCGGACGTGGGTCGGACGTGGGTCGGACGTGGGTCGGACGTGGGTCAGTCCTGGTCAGTCCTGGGTCAGTCCTGGGTCAGTCCTGGGTCAGTCCTGGTTTCATTCACATTGGTGAGCAAATTTACTTTACTGTGGATATTTAAGCCTTTAGCCCAAAATATTTCCCAATTTTTAGTTTCTCTTACCCATCTTCTTGGGGAGCAGGTACACGTCCTGTTTGTAGCGACCCTCGGGGGCATTGTAGAGTTCTATCAGAGCCAGAGCCTGCAACAAGAGGCAAAGAAAATTGATTATAGAATGAGACTCCAAAACAGGACCAATTTCAGTCATTTTAGTTTATTTTAGTTCAGTAGAAAGAATCATTTTCAGTTGTACTTCAAAAGCACTAGTACCTGAGTGGTGGCGGTGATGGAGAGCACAAATGTTGGCACAGTGGAACAGCTGAGGTTCAACAGTCGACCCTGAAAAATGGAAAAATTAAAAAAATTTAAACATTTTAATGAGAAATGCAAATCCGACTTTTACACTTCTCATAATGTGGAGACAGGTTAATTTTGAACTGTTTGCAGTGGTCCAAGTTCATTCTTCAATATCAGCAGTTAATATTATTTCAATTCTTCACTGCAGTAAGTTTCCAAGTATAGTCTAGCCCTTTTTTGGGTTTGTAAAAGATCACATGCTTTATAACTAGATGCTGACAGGACACGGTGGTCTGATTTTGATGGCAAAAGCTGCTTACAATACAACACCACACTTTTTCCTGTTTTTTACTGTTTACTGTTGACCAAACATATTCTAAACTTCTGATTCATGAAAGTGTCCACCTTTGGCAGATATAAAAGCTGAACACACTTGTGGCTCGTTCTTTTTACAACAGAAATAAAAAATTCTTCAGAAAGTTCTTCTCAAGTCTGTTGCACAAGAATAAATAAATGTGTGGCACTTGTAGGTTTCTTAGCTTTCATTCTTCTGTCCAGTTCATCCCAAAACCAACTCGATGGGGTTTAAATCTGGCGATTGTGCTGGACACTCCATGTTTTCAAGTTTACCATCATCTTCTTTTTTCCTAAGGTAGTTTTGGCAGAGCTTGAACTTGTGTTTTGTTATCTCTTATCTTTTTTTTTTAACCTCTGGCTGTTGTGTAGTTACCTTTGTACCATTTCATGCTTTTCATTGGACTTGCACGACTTGAACTGCAATAAATAACTGGAAAAATTAGGCTGTTCTAAAACTTTTGACTAGTAGTGTAATATAAGAAGTAAAATCTGGTACAGGGCCTTTAATGTTCGTCTAGTTACAGTGGTGTTACTTTGATTGCATAGTTTCTGCTCATAATAATTCTTTATTATACATAAACACATTCTTGTTGCATTATACAATATAGTAGCCTTTCTTCTCCCACTAATATGTAAAATACAACACAAAAAGACACCAACTCTATACTAAAATAGGCTGAATTATCTATTGAAGTTTATTCAGTGACAATCTGAAGCAGAAGGCGTTAATTTTGTCCGTCAGGCTGCTCTCATTCTGTCAGTGCTGCTTCATAGTTTAAACAAATAACATCTTTCATGACAATTATATTAAGGTTAAGGCGCACTTTATTTACCATGTGGGACAAGGCTCAATTTAAGCTTGGAGGATTTTGCCTGCTTTGTGCATGCTTTTGGTTATATTATAGTGTAGTGTTTCTCAAACTGTGGTACGTGCTCTGTAAACTACCAAAAAAAGCTACAGAAAAAACTGAAAAGATTGTATTCAGTGATCATATTTAACACACTGGCCACTGAGGAAATCTTTTAGGAATGAGATAAAACAAACATCATATTACATTAAACATGCAGTACCAACATTTAATTTGATTGCACTGATTATTTGTGGAGTTGCAGTACTCACCTCGGCCAACAGGACTATCCTCTTGCCGTCGGGCCAAATCACATGGTCCACCTGTGAGCGCACTCTCTCCCAGGTCAGCTCTGGGGTCCGGAGGCTGGCCTGTGGGAACAACGACACTATTTACAAATGATTTTCCTAGAAATTTACATATTCATTCAACACAACAAACAGCATATAATCAATCATTTTGAGAAGATACAGCGTAAATATAAGATTTTATTATTCAACTAAAACTAAACTATCAATAAGTAGATTTATTTACTGCATCTTCTGTGTTATAATGTGCACTGTAATCTAAAATCCTCTCTGTAAGATATTATCACAATGTGCATCTCACGGTACGACATTTATTGCAATATTTTGGAGAGGTTGATATAATTGTAGATAGGACACTTTTTTGCTTTTAAAATACCTTGAAGTTTTTGGTTTGAATTATTTCTGTCATAATCCCAATAATTCAAGTAAAAACATATCTCTTCATGTCGTCTGTGCTGAAATGAATCATGGGATATGTAGTTCTCGATGCTTATTAGCTATTGGTACAATAAAACAACGCATTTAAGCAAAAGATTTTGTAACTTGATTTATTGTGAAAGCCCACGGTATTATTGTGGGACTTTTGGCAATACAATATCATGATATTTCGGTTATTGTGACATCCCTACTTGGAATATTAATGTCACATCATTTTTGGGACGATTTATGTTCTCAAACTAGTATTGAAAAGAGACAGTAGATTAGGTACTTTAGTGTGTGCATAGTGATAAATTAAAAATAAAACCATTATAATTCTGTGCTGAAAATTACATTAAGCTGTATAACATGTTGACGGCAGTTCACAATAGAACTAAAAGGGATTTATCAGTGAATTTTATGTTAATTATTCACTAGTTGGTCGTTTTATTTTTGTTTTGCCAATGTGTTGTCAAAATCCATGTCAAGCACTATGCATTTTTTTTTCTATTTGCAATTACCTGGCTGTCTAGTTTGATGATTTATTAACATATTTTTTTTTTTGGCAACGGTACTTTTTACTCCCCGGCTGAAAATTGCAGCCGCAGAACACTATAACCGAGGGTCAGGTTTTAATCACAGTGAATCTCCTTTTGACAGGCTCATATTATAATATAAATCACTCACATTCACGCCAGTTACCATGACAACGCAACAGAATCTCGGTGAAGGTCGGACAAAGGCAGAGAACAGTCAATTTTCACCTGTCACTGAATCCACCTTTTTAATTAAGCCAATGTAACGAATGTTCCACGGTAATTATTAACATGTCCATACATTCAGACAGAAAGGTGACACCATCTGTACATAAAGTCTATATATAAAGTGTTTACAGAGTTTAATTAAAAACTGGGACTAAGGTGATGAAGGAGATTCTTATTTGTACAATTTTTATTTCTTTTATTTTTTTTGCCACTTATTCATACAACCTTAAAGGCTCTATATTATAATGTTGTTTCCTCATCACAAACAGACTTGGAGTTTTGTTTTGTTTCATTCACACGTGTTTAACTCTCAAACCCTGCATATTTAGGCTCAGTTCTTCTCACAAACAGGTAACACTCTGGTCCACCTTATGATGTCATGTGGTAATGCAAGAAGTGCTTGACTGTGTTTTTAACTCCATAACTCCATCCACACCTTAACGAGAATCATTTGGATAATTTCACATCTGGAATTTCCAAATTTCCACTGACGTAAAGGTAAAAGGAGATGTTAACTAGAAAACTACCACACTACATGACATCCAGAGTATCCCCAGATTTGAGTACCCCAAATTTAAGACCTTTTTAAGACCACGTAAATGAAAATTAAGACCAACATCACACCCACTATGCGGGCGAAAAACACCAGATCCAATTCTAATAATGACCAACCAACTACCAGTACTATATCTAGAATCTAAGAGCCACTGTGGATTAAATCTACACTTCCCCAGAATCCATCCAACGTCCTTCCTCCACTGTACTGATTGTTTACTCATTACCATCAGCGCCAGAAACCAAAGTATTGTTTGTGCATACTCCAAATTAGACGTTCATTCACGTTAGGCGATTTCACGTTGTTGTTTTTTCCCTCCCTCCATTTAACATTGCACTGCAGCCCGGTTGAGTATACAAAAATAGGCTAATGAAATTTAAGACCTTTGAGGAAAACAATAAGACTTGGACAACATAATCTAAGACTTTATAAGGCCTTACTTTAGGAACATGAAATTTAAGACTTAAGATCCCACGAATACCCTGATATCAAGATGGAAAAGAGCATTTTTTGAGCTTGTAAAGAGACCAATATTGCAGGATTACTCCAACATGTGTAAATGAAACAAAACACAACTCCAGGTCTGTTTGATGAGGTAACAACACTATTCCAATATTGTGTCCATTTTGTGTAATATAGGACCTTTAATGTATTGTAAAAGCATTAATTTCCTTGAGAGAAGATAACACAGTGGAGATGTCTAAAAGAGGATGTATTCTGAACAGTTTAAACCCATAATTACTGACCACATCGATCTCAGTGTTGGAGTGTCCCATGTTACAGACGATGCAGCCATTCTTCATCCGGTCCAAGTTCTCCCTCACCACCACATTCTTGTTTCCTTAAATGAAAAACATGACAGTTGAATTTATGTTATTATGATATATTGTGATGAATGAGCTACTGTGTCCAAATAATTTCCGTTATGAATCAAAAGTTTGTCTAAGTCTAAAGGTGGTTATCGCAATAATTATTAGAAAAAACAAGAACAAGCATTAGAAAAAACAAGAATCACATTTAACTGAATATACCAAAAATGCATCTGTAACTTGATAAATTACCAAATAATCTTTTTACATTGTCCCTTTTCAAAAGAAGTGACCAGCCAAGACTACACTTTTTTCCTAGGACCTGGCTGAACGTCATTGATAGGTGGATTACCCAATCAGAGAAATAGCAAACAGGCAAAGCATTACACATTACTAATCTGAGGTAAGAGAAGTTATACATTTCTTTGTATGACACACACATATTTGACAATAAGAATTTATAATGCCTGAAAGAGATGAATGTCTCTGCAACTGATAATATGACTAGAAAAAACAGAAACACAGTCTTTTTAAAAGGGCCCATATTATTATTACTATTTTCTGATCTATGTTTATCTATGTTAATGTTGTTTTCTCAAAAACATCAAAAACACAGAGTGTGTTTGTTTCATTGAAATGTGTTTGAGTGATCCTGCATTATTAGTCTGTCTGCGTCTCCAAAGCTCAAAATGCTTTCTGAAACTCTGAAGTGGTAGTTTAACCTTTTACCTTACCTTTTATCTTTTGTTCAGTAGAAATGGGCAATTCAAAGTCTGAAATCATCCAAATGATTCGAGTGAAAGTGTACCGAGTTCAAAAACACAATTGAGCACGTCCTGTATTACCACATGACATCACAAGGTGGAGCAGTGTGTTTTCTCTTTGGAGAACTCAGCCTAAATATACAGAGTTTGTGTGTTAAACATGAGTGAATGAAACAAACTAAACCCGGTATGTCTTTGATGAGGAAACAACATTATTACATAGATCAGAAAATAGCATAATATGAGCCCTTTAAACTATTACAGCCATAAACTGAGAAGAATAAAAGTAGACTGACCTGTGCATGTGATGACGATGTCCACTTGTCTGATGACTTCATTGAGTTTGACCAGTCTGAATCCATCCATGCTTTAGTTCAAAAAGAAAAAAAGAACAGTTTGTACATTTCTTTCATTGTGGGTGAGAAATTGTGTAAGTAGTTGATAACTGTAGCGCACCAGGCCTGTAAGGCACAGATGGGGTCGATCTCTGTGACGTACACAATGGAGCCCATGGCTTTGAGAGCGGCGCAGCAGCCTTTTCCAACCTGACAGAAGAGACCAGTTTGAACACACAGAAACACTGTACATTTAACACTATGTACCGCCTGATGTAATACTTGATAAGAGCCTAATCTAAATCAGGACTAAATCAGGTCTGAAACAAAACAAGAGCAAAATTTAAAGCAGGGCTAAAGATTTTATTAAATTACACAATATAAACTAAATTACAGTAATGATAAAAGCTGTCACAGTACAGGGCTGGGACATATATCATTAAGTAATAACACTGACTGCGGAGGATCTACAGAGGCTAAAACTCAAATGAAAGCAGTAAAACTTAGGACTGTTATAACTTAAATAGCAGTAAAATGTAAGTTCTCTCTCGCTCCCAACTCTATGATAGGACCACCCATAGATCAGTTTGTGAAGCACCAACTTTACTCTACATACTGTATATATCACATCTTATCAGCTAAACTGGACTTACTTAGCTTTGATGATACAGCTTGGTTATCATGGATACCGTCAAGAGCATTTTTTGGTATATTTTACTAAATGATTTTGTGACAGAGCTAGACTTTTGGTGTCGACTTGTTTATTCCTATTCCCCACCCTTTAACAGAGCACAGTGTTTCCCATAGGTTTTGTTAAGACTATGGTGGCACTAATTATTTTGTTTGTCTCCATGATGTACAGTAAAAAAACAACTGAGTTACAGCAGTCCAGAGTCTTTCTGGACGGGGTGGAACTCAGCCTCGTCAAAGAGTTTAAATACCTGGGACTGACATTGGAGCCGACATTGACATTTAAGAAACACATTAAGCGCCTTACAAAAAAGGTTAATTTTAACTTAGTGAATTTTAGACAGGTAAGATCCTTTACGACTTTAGATGCGGCACAAATGTTTTTACACTCCATGATTCTGTCTCATATAGAGTATTGCATAACCACATGGTCACTCACTGCTGGCACAAAACTCAAACCAGTTCAATCACTTTTTAAAAAAGCTGTAAAAATACTGGACAAGAAACCATTCTCAGTTCACCAGTGCACTATTTTAGATAAGTACAACTTGCTTAGTTTTAATAATTTTGTTCATTTTAAATATGGATGTTTTATATATAAAGTTTTGTATGGATTTGCTCCGCCTCCGTTATAGGATTTCTTTAAAACAAAGACTGTCAGCGGGATGGGAACAAGGGCCACAGCCCGGGGGAACTGTGAGCCCCACACAGACACACCACATTTGGACAAAGTGTGCGCTCAGTCACAGGCACTAATTTCTGGAACAGTTTCCCATTATCAATAAGAGAAACTCCAACACTGGCCACTTTCAAATCACACATGAAACAGTGGCTAAAGGAAAACCAGACTTGTGACAACTTTTTAGTGCATAACTGTCGCTTGTCACTTGTAACAGTTTTTTTACTGTTAAATTCGTGGTGTCACCTGCCTAGGGACTAAATCAAAAAAATTTAATTATTTAATCTCATTCAATTTGTAGGGGATAAATGTCACTTACTGCCTATATTTAATCTTTAATCAGTCATCTTTGAACAGTGTAGTCTCTTTTGAAAGTTTATGATAAAACAAGTCTTATATTGTTATGCCAACACTGTAGTTCAGGTTGTTTTTAGATCATGGGGGGCCACCATAGTCTCTTGTATGTATTGGAAACGCGGTTGCATATGCATTTCCTTTTGATTTGAAAAGTATCATACAAGACCTACCTCTCCGTATCCACACACCACCACCTGCTTTCCTCCAAACATGACATCAGTGGTTCTCTTGAGGCTGGAAAAAAACAAAACAAAAAAAAACCATTGTTAATTTATTTACTCATACTCCATCACTGACTCATTAGCAGGTTTGTAAGTGCCCTGAAACGTTAACTGTACCAGAGAAACATGTGTGATTCACGTTTTAATGAGGACTCAGAGGACTGACTCACCCGTCCAGGATAGACTCCCTACAGCAGTATAGATTATCAAACTTCTGCTTCGTCACAGAGTCGTTCACATTCATGGCTGGAACACACAGCTTCCCCGCTTTGGACAACTGGTACAACCTACAAACACAATAAGAGGTCCAATATTATTTAATTATTAAATAATTCAAGCTCACTTATTATTGTATCTATTTGAACAACAGTTAGAAAACACACAATAACACATCGGTTCAGAATAATGATTACAAAAAAGGGATAGAATATGATACACTATGCAGTCCATGATGGTCAAAAGGAGTAGGAGGAGGTTTTAAAGGCCCTATATTATTACACATAATTGAGTTTTGTGAGCTGTAAGCCTAAAAACATACCTAGATCTAGTTGTGTTTTGTTTCATTCACAAATGTTTGAGTAACCCTTTATTGTCTATATCTGTCTATATCGGGGGTCGAACTCAAATTCAGAGAGGGCCACAATTAAAATCTGGGACTAAGTCGTAGGCCAAACTAAATATTTATTTATTTCGAGATATGTAATGTTAAACTTTTTCTTATTAAAATGATTTTTTAATAATAGTTTTGCTTAAACAATGAATCTGGAACAAGTTGTCTGGATGAATCCAGACTCATCGCTGTACCAGAGAAATATCCGTCTGGATTTTCAGGCAACGGAACAAGCATAATATAAAATAATAACAAAATTTAAAAAAATACAGTCTCTATAACCTATCTGTAACTGGCGGGCCAGCTCTAATACAGATTTGATATGATCATGGGGGCAAATATAATTATATCATGAGCCAAATTTGGCCCCTAGGCCTGAGTTTGACATGTCTGGTCTATACCTTCTATATCTTTTTGTTTAGTAAAAAGGGGAATCTTCAGGGCTGAAATCATTAAAATGATTCTAGTGAAACGGTATGGAGTTTAAAAACACAGTGGAGCACTTCCTGTATTACCGTGTGACATCACAAGGTGGAACAAAGTGTTTGAGAGAAGCACAAAACCTAAATATGTAGGATTTGTGTGTTAAACATGTGTAAATGAAACAAAACACGACTCCAGGTCTGTTTTTGATGAGGACACAACATTATAACAAATCAGAAAACAGAGTAATATGGAGCCTTTAACTTCAAGTTCACTTGATTAATTTCTCAGGGTCCATAACAGTGGAACAAAAATTCACAATGTTCATTTTGTTATTTTGAAATATTATTTTCAAATTGACAGAAAGAAAACATGGTTGTGGTGCAATCATTTATCCACGTAGATATTGGCAGCTAGTAACTGCAGACAACTACACTGACCACTCTTTGCCACTAGAGGGAGCAGTTGCCACATAAACCGCATAGCCGCAACATGCTGCTCTTGTATAACATCACTTTCAATGTGATTATAGCTTTATTATATAAGGGCAAAGCTACTCTTTAATTTGAAATGCTGATGAAACCCATATAATTACTGAGAAAAAAGAAGAATTACGAACAGAAGAGAATTAAATTATAGAGTATTTAGAGTTTTACCTGTGCACCCCGGTAACACTCTCCTCTACGATGCCCTTGATCTTTTTGAACATATTTGGATATTTCTTGTAGATCCAGTGAGTGAGATCTCCTCCATCATCCAAGATCTTAACAAAAGAGAAAAACAGGGGGCGCAATGTCAAATGAGGTCAAAATGGGAGATAAGAGGCGGACATGACACAGTATTAAGATAAACAGCACATTACCCAATACCTTTATAAAGGACCATAAACCATACAATTCTGAGTATAATGTACTGCGTTGGTGCAATAATATAAGCAATGATTCATGTGTTTTCCACTGTCTTCATTTCAAGACAATAAGGGCAGGTTTTGCTTTTTGTGTTCATAGAAGTGTTGTCACAATACTAAAATCTACTATATTTAAACTATTTCAAACCTATAATTCCACAATGATAATAAAAACACTCTTTAGACAATGTAATGTGATTTTCAACATTAAATCGTAATACTATCTTTTATATAATCTGGTTTTATGTCTGTGTAATCCCGCAGTTGTACATGTAGGTTCCTTAGTGGCGTATAATATCTGATTTTTAATACTTTCAACAGCTTTAGTTCACAGTAGGGTTTTAAGTAACAATTATTTTGATAATTGATTAATCCGGTGAATATTTTCTTTGATTAATTGTTTATCTTTATCTGGGGTCGCTTGAGGACATCTTCATTGAATTTACATATTTCCTTTGTACTTTTGATGCGACTACTGCTTCGTCTTAGCCATAAAAAACACCTTTTGTGAATCTGTTAATATTTCAGATAACAATTATTTCAAATTTTGATTAGTAGATTAACTTGTTTCAGTCATAGTTCACCTATATGTTAAGACAGCAGTTCACAACTTTTTTCCTACGAACAATACCCCCCTAACTTGTGTAATGGAGATCTGAAGCTACATATGCAGGCACTTACTTGTATTTGATCAATTATTATTATTGTTGTTTTTCTTGTTTTAAAAGGGTCCATATTAAGCTATTTTCTGATCTGCTGTAACACGGTTTTCTCATAAAAAACATACACAGAGCTGTGTTGTTTTATTCACATGTTTAACAAACAAATCCTGCATATTTAGGCTGAGTTCTGCTTCATACAGAAAACACTCTGCATCTAGTGTTTTTAAACTCCATACACCTTCAATTACAAATCGCTACTAAGATAAAGGTAAAAGGAGCTGTTAACTTGAAAATCACCACTTCATGACATCACACGGTGGAACAGAACATTGAACTTTGGAGATGTAGACAAACTAATAATAAAAAGTTACTCAAACATGTGTGAATGAAACAAAACACTGGGTATGTTTTTGCGGAGGTAACAACATTCTAACATGACTTAAAGCTCTTTTCTTGAAATATAGGACATTTAATGATACTAATGTCCAAATCATCCTACAAAAACATTCCTAATTTCAAATGCTGCTCAATTTAGCTTTCTTTTTAAATCCATAATCATTTGAAGTACCATCTGTTAAGTGCTGCCAGTACTGCTGATTGGCCAACACTGTGCTCAGGTACATGATTTTCTCCTCAAAAAGGAACATTTGTCCTCTCAAATTTTCAACCGGTGCCAAACCGAGAGGACAAACAACAATACAGTACCCAGGTAAGTCTATCCGTGGGTTTCAGAATGAGGAAAAATTAGGACAGCTGTCGTACTGATTAATAATTTCAAACCAACTATAATATCTTCTGAAAAGGAAAAAGTCCTCAAAAGCACCAGTGCTTCTAACCAATAAACATGCAATCACAATCTGCTAGGGGTTTAACGGTGCATGTATTCATGCTGAGCTGTTTCAGTATGGGACTTTCGGTTTGGTGCAAGGCTGTGCATCAGTGAGTTCGTGCAATTTGTGTGTGTTTACATTCCGCCACAACATGTGCAGCTACATGAAAGGCTCGGCTCTTTAATATTCATGAGGGAACTCGTCCGTGATTGGGGTGGCAGTATTTCCTGCGGCGCTTTATAGTTAGGGTGACCACCTTGACAACAATTGCTCCCCGTTTTCACTACTTCCCTCCAAACCACGTGAATCCTTGCAAAACTACGGTCGTCGTGTCTCGGTCCTTACTTTTGCTTTTTTCAAAAATAATGCATATAACCAGAATCTGAAACCTACAAATGTATACTTAGTTTCAAAAATAAAGCTTATATTTTCAGTTTTCACACTATCAGGGTGTATTTAGACTCAGGACTGTATTGAGAGTGTGCAGGTCTCACCATGTTGGGCTGCCAGCCTTCGACGTTGACGCAGCGATCAATGCACCACCAGAAGTCATCCTCTGACTCACCCTTCCACGCAAAGACACTGAAACCTAAAAAAAAAAAAAGGATAGAAGATTTATTTAGCAAACCCACAGTGGAAGATATAAAAATAGGTAAGAGTGTTAAATATGATCTGAATGACTCATTTGGTTGTAGAGCTGCACACCATAAGAAATGTGATAATGTAGGACACTGGGATGACATGATTTGGGATGGTTTAATACAATACTTTAAAATATTAAGAAAACATCACTGGATTTATTTGTCAAAATGGTCACTTGAAGCCTACACTCCTGTCAACTAAAGTCTGAACGATTAGAGGAAAAAAATGGAATGGTGATTTTTCTGGCAAGCATTGCAATTGTGATTACCGTATTTTTCGGACTATAAGTCGCACTTTTTTCATGGTTTGGGTGGTTCTGTGACTTATACTCCGGTGCAACTTATATATAAAAATGTTCACACTGACAAACACGAGAGGGCACTCTAGGCTTGTGTGCCAGTATCTGCTACTCCTATTACTCCTGTACCTACTGCGCATGTCTCCTGCAGAAAGAGCCTCTGTCCTGCTGCAAGTAGTGATATTCAGCCGAAAACAGTAATCAAGCAGCAGAAATAAAATTTGAAGTGAGCGAGAAACTTGTGAGAGACTGGCGGAAAGCGGGATGGAGAAAACAGCTTCACGGCAACCGGGCAGGTGTGCCATCCAACTTTCCTGGAAATCAATGAATGGATCAACAAAGCCTGGACTTCAATGACAACCAAAACCATCCTGTCGGGATTCAGAAAGGCCAGAATAATTCTAACTGGAACTGATGCCGAGTCTGACAACAGAAGAGGAAGCAGCGCTCCGTTTACCTCATGGATCTATAGTTTACCTCTGGAGGTTTCAAGATGAAAGGTAAAATTCAAATTGAAAAGATTAAAATGTTCATATTAACTTGCTCTACATGATCCTGGTGTTTTGTCCCTAAATAACTTTCTAATATGGAATTGGCTCCAAATTGGCTCATGTAACAGATAGCCTCGAAGAGCTTCATTTTACTTTACTGCTTCGTCAATCTGTTGCAAAACATTATTGAGGAGAGTCCATTTTCTTTTGGGTTCTCTATGTAAAAAGTCATGTGTTTAATGTATTCCTCCCTCTGTAGCTGAGGAGAGGGGCAGGTGTCTCACAGCAGAAGCCTCACCTCCCTCGGCCAGAGCAGCTGCCACTTCGTTCTGAGTGGAGTAAATGTTACAGGCGGCCCACCGGCACTGAGCCCCCAGAGCGGACAGAGTCTCCATCAGGACCTAAGGAGAAAAGACGATAGATAACAGCACTGGAATAAGATGCATTTATTTATTTTTACACTGGATTTGTTGATTTACTACTTGAAATGTTGTATTTCAGCTAATCTCATTTCATATTCTGCAGCTAAAACATCTAGTTAAATTAAGATGGTAAACTTACACAAACTTGGACACGGTAGCTCAAACATCACAATATAATATAATAGCAAAGAAGAAAAATATAAATGGTAATAATAAATTCTAAGTAAGTAGCAAAAATAGCAAATTTTAGCATAACATTTTTGCATCATTATAGTTTTAGGTCATTGGTAAACATCTGTACTTTATATAACCAAGAAATTTGACTTAAAGATGCACTGTGTAACTTTTCAGATGGATGACCATCAATCCGCTTTGATGTCTTTGATTTGCCTGGAAGGTTCCACATTATGACATTGAAATGGAAATATCACTAGGCCAAGTTTACGTCAAGTTAAGTTCGATCTGTCAAGACAAGACCTGCTCACAGTAACAAGGCATATTTTCAATGTAATTCTGAGGAATAAAACTTGTGTAATTAACAAAACAGATTAGATTCGAACATTCCAGGAAAAGCAGTAACATCTCAGTCAAGCGTGTGGCTCAATCTCCACCAGAAAAGTTACCCTTAAAGGTGCATTCTGTAACTTTTCTGGTGGAACGTTCCACACTTTGGCAATAAACATGCTCATCTTGTTTTTTTCCAATACAGGTCTATTTATTGCTCAAAAATACTTTACATTTTACTGAGCACGCATGCCTTTCCACAGATCTGACTTGTGCAGGGTACAACATTAAATATTAAAATAAAATTCCGCTCCCATCTCAGAAATAAAGTCTCTCTGAACAGATGCGTAAATGCTGTTTTGGCTATCGCACTTACAGCTGTCTGTGCAGTGATGTGGGTGCAGCCGACCACTTTGGCACCGGCCAGAGGCTTCTCCCCCTGAGCCCTCTTCCTCAGAGCCATCAGCGCTGGCATCTCTGAAGAAGACGAGAAGAAATCATTAACAGAATGAGAAAACACATATATGAAAAAGCGTAGATGATAAAATAACTGATTGGCAATTGCTTAAAGAGGAAAAGTAGGACACGTCTGCACTAAATCTCGGTAGTTACCTCTGATAAGCTACATTAGGCCAATTTGTGTGCCGTCTTTTCACAGGTGTAAAAAGTGAAAATCCAAACCTTGCTCCGCGATCTCGATCTCACGGCGTCCAAACTCAGCCTGTTTGATATTTTTGATGCAGAAGTCTCCGTTTCCCTTTGAGTTTTTCTGCTGTTTATCCCGAGGAGACGTCTCATCATCAGAGCTGTCTGTGTACGAGGCCGCTGTAAGAACAGAAGCAGGAGGCAGTGGTCAGGGATTGGGGTAAACAATGATAATAAAAACACACTCAAATTTAAAGGTCCTCTATACACAAAAATGACTCTTGTGAGCTTTAAGCCATGTTATAATACTGTTACCTCCACAAAAACATACCTGGAGTTGTGTTTTGTTTTCATTCACACATATTTGAGTAACCGTTTATTATTAGTCTACCTACATCTCCAAATGCTCTGTTCCACCTTGTGATGTCATGTAGTTGTACTTGTCAAATAACTGCTACCTTTCACCATATGTTCAACAGAGATTGGCAATTCCATTGCTGAAATTATCCAAATGATTCTAGTGAAGGTGGATGGAATTTAAAAACACCCAGTGGCGAATTTCCAGTATTACCACATCACGGTAGAAGAGCAACAGAGCGTTTTCTGTCTGAGAGAAGAACCTAAATATGCCTAAATATGCAGGGGTTGTGTGTTAAATATGTATGAATGAAACAAAACACAACTCCAGGTTATGCCAGATGAGGAAAACATTATAACATAAATCAGAAAACAGTGTAATACGGTCCTCTGCCGTAAACACATGTGGTTTGGATCAAGCTTTGGAGAAAGAAATTTAATACTTGTTTTGGGTTAAAATGTTCTGATTACAAGTCTGTATTGTTTATGTTCAGAAAAGGGCACATTGCCAAGCCCGATATTCATTTGAACTTTTCTTTTCAAAAGCGGTACAGCTAATGCAAATGTGGTATTGTGCGGGCCTTGACATGAGATTTAATTGTGAATAATATTGTTGCACGAGGAAACGTATGAGCTCATTGTTTTTGTTTTTGCCAACACTGTTAAACAAAGCGCTTTACATTGCATTACATTACTAATTCAACATAGCTTTGGCCCACAGTTGGCGCGGGGAAGACTGGCTGAAACATGAGTGCCAAAAGCCCATCTGCTCCATCGGTCACTCTGACCTCTACCAACGAATCACCAATATCCAGCAGGTAAGTTATGTTGCCAAGGACACAAAAGTAAAAATGAGCTAGAGTGGAATTTAATATTTTAAATGTGCAAAATAACACACTTTCTCATAGTAAAAGTAGAACTGACTTTATATTTCCAGGTCCCATACAAGGCTATTTTCTGATCCAAGTTATAATATTTCCTCATCACAAACATACCTGCAGTTTTGTTTTGTTTTCACATTCACATTCACACATTTAAGACGCAAACCCTGCATATTTAGTTCTTCTCTCAAACTGAAAACACTCTGTTCCACATTGTGATGTCATGTGGTGATACAGGAAGTGCTCCACTGTGTTTTTAAACTACATATACTTTCACTAGCATCATGTGGATGATTTCAGCCCTGGAATTGCCAATCTCTACTGAACTAAAGGCAAATGGTAGCTGTTAACTTAAAAACTACCACTTCATGTTGGTGGGTGAAGTGTCTTGCTTAAAGACACAACAGTTCTGTTTGTTTTGTTTTTTTGCCCTGGCATCCCACGGTGGTACCTAATTTTCCCAGAGGTCTCTCATCCACGTACTAACCAGGTCCAGCTTTATTAGCTTTGACAAGGACTTTTTTTTTTTTTTTTTTTTTTTTTTTTTTTTTTTTTTTAAATGGTACTTCACAAATAGAAGCCTTTGCTAATTGGGTCCATTCAAGTTGCAATTTTGATTTGATTGCAATTAATCTTGTAGCTCTAAGAAACCTCAAGTAAGAGCTGTCCATGCCCATTGCCCATAAACTGTATTTTAATGTGTGTGTATGACTACATGTATATCTGCAACCTGCCTTCTGTCACTACAGGTAATGAGTAAACCCATTGTGCTGTGTGTTACTGGCACCGGTGCAGAGTGGTTCCTGTTGGACTGGACTGACTCAGTACATTCCAGTGATTCGCAGCAGGCTCAAGACTCACGGTTCACTCTCCTCCCACTCATTTACTGACCATAACTCCAGAGAATAATGTGCCCAGACTGGTAACAATACTGCACACCTAAGAACACCCTGTACTCTGGGGAGTGGACTACAATCTAAAAAGGAAATCAAATAAAGCAAGCATGAATCTTTGCCTTAAGAACTTTTAAATTCTCAGGCAGATTAGGTGCAACTCAAACTCAAATTTCAACATGAATGTGGTGTGAGTAATTGGAGATAGGAAAATGCAATGTAGGCCTGTCTTGATTGGTTTATCGTTTAATAAATCGAAGTTGGTATTTGTCAGTATTTATCATGTGTACCATTCCTTGAAAACGTGGGAAGATTTAATAATGTAAGATTTGAGCTGGAGAGTGTAGAAAACATCACTTATACGGCTAGTTATTATTGGTTTATTCTACAATTCATTTTCTGCAGCTGAGGCTTTTTAATGTTAGTGTATTTAAAAAAATGGGTTTACCTGGACTTGCTTTGTATCAGTGCCATAATGTTTCAGTATTATCATTTATTGCAATATTTCTCTTTAGTGATATATCGTAATTTATATCAAAATTTGTTAACGTGAGCACAAAATAAGACCATGCAACTTCTTTTCAGTCTTGAAAACATGAGGAAAAAATTCTTTGTTCAGGTTAAACTGTTTGCAGTGGCTCAAAACTCACATTTCATTGCAATTCCCAAATATCCTTATTATTCACTGCTATACACAACTTTCAGAGATCAGAGCCTTAATGCTAACAGCAACTATCATGCTAATAGAACCCTTCCTGGTCAAGAAGAGTTACACTATAATTGTACAGAGGCAAAACAAAACAGTCTAGTTCACAATTTCAGTTTTATCACAATTCTTTCTCAAGTAGGGCTGGGTATCATTGAGAAGTTGCCGATACGATACATACCTCGATACACAGGCCATGATACGATACATATCTCGATATACTGAGCGATTTTATATGATTCGATACGATATATTTCAAATCGACTCAATACAGTTCAATAAAAAATGGCTAAATCACAAGACTTTGTTAAACCACTTCTTGTGTAAAGTAAATATAAAAACACATCCATTTTAATCCTCAAAACAGTGAAAATGTCAAATGTGTTGCATAAATGAGTTTCCTTCCTCTGAACAAGCAACAAAACTGTAGCACTGTAACAAAATAATATATCAATGCTGTATCATTACATTAAAAAAATACAGTATATAGATATTTTGATATTTATGAACACCGTTTTTCACAAGTGTTTATCATAAATCCTCTCAGGTATCAAAATTTATCTGCCACCTCTTATGGCAGTTCACACTTCACTGTGATTGGTTAATTCCACCTGTCACTCACTGAAGACCTGATGGAGGCTGTCCAGTAGGAGAAGTGGGTGGAGAAACATGTCCAAGTTTGAGAATAGAGTTGAATTAAACTGAAAATCATATAGTCTGATCACAACTTTTTTTTTTACATCATATCGCTCACCTCTAATCTAAAACAAATAAATATACAAATTAATCTAATATAATGCAAATTCTTCTTAAGTATAAGGCAATTCTGACTAGAAATTGCATTGGAGTGAAGATAGGAACCCTCTCAAACAACAGTCCTCAAGTGTTTTCTTTTTTCTTCTCCAACAAATTTAAAGCACAATACAAAAATAAACTAAAATTGATCAAAAACTGTTGATTCAGACAAATAAATCCTACATCGCTGTCCCCTATAGTCAGCAAAGTGAAGATGATGGTGCCGTATACTGACCAAAACAATGCTTAGTGCTGAGGTGTAAACAGACGGCGATAACAGGTGATTGGTAGTGTTCAAATACCTTCGCACTCAGCACGCTTAGCAATGTGTAAATCCCCCTTTAAGGCTTTAATTATATAGAACAACATTGGTGGCTGTTTTTAGCTCCTTGTCCACAGCTGCACATTAAAAAACAGTCCGTTACTACAGAACATTTGTCCATCTGCCTCACATCTGCCTGTCTGTTAAAGACTGGATTCAGTTACGGCGCTGTCCACTCAGATTACCACTTCACTTTATAATGGGGTCTGAGGAGGATAGTGACCCCCGAGTGAACCCGGCGCTATAAACTCTTACCGTGTTTGTAAACAGAACGAGTGCATTCTAAAAGCTCATAAGCCTTTACAGTAAGGGAAGGTATGGGCTCTAATGTATGGGCCGTATATTAGCTCCAAAGCATTTTCTACGGGTTAGTGTTAGCCTTCAAATCACACAAATTGTGAAAAAAACAGGGCTGCTTTATTAGTATTAATTCATCAAGCAGTACAAAGCCTGCAAACATTAGTGAACTGTAAAAGCTGGAGCTGAAAGTTTGATTCTGCCTAAATTTTGCTGATATGGGCCGATAGTCCACGTGGGAATGTTATACCTCGTTATGAAGTTTAGACTCTCTATATTATGTCCATTTAACCCAATTTACAGACACATAAATGTCCTAATATGTGGCACCGCATCAGTATTTATCTGGAGTAATTTGTCTGTGTGTGTGACACCGTACCGCCCCTGAACGCACCGCCAGACGTGCGCTTGTTTACACACGCAGCTGCTGTCAAAATGCTGTCAAAATAATTTTATTTTTTATAGGTGATCATTTTCAGTCAGGATTATAAAGACAGTTATTTGAGAAGACTTAATTTGAAAGGTGTCTGGGTGAGCAGTGAGTGTTGCAAATGTGTCGGTTTTGAAGCTACTTTTAAAGTAAATTGCTGTACACGTGACTGTACCTGCACTGATATGTAAATGAACTGTGAATAGAGGTGTGAATGATTCGCATTTACGCATTTCATTTATGACTGCAGCACGCACACGTTTACTGCTAAAGGCTGATATTTACTTTCTTTATTAGCTAGAATATGATTTAAACATGCCATTAGTCTGACCTACTGTCTTTAAATATGACTGTAAAAGGCAGAATGACAATAAACGTAGCCTAAATAAACCCAATTTAAAATCCAGTAGAGCCAGACATAGATATCATAATCAGTTGAAGATTTATAGTTGATTTTTGCATCACTAAATATATCGGATTTTATATCGGCTATCAGCAG